CGCGTGCCGGGCGTTTGCACCCGCCACAACACTTCCAGACTTATGAGAGGCCGCCTACACAAGATTTTGGGGCATGCTAGCCCCCGGAGGCCGCCGGCCACAGTCGTAGACACGCGAAGAGCAATCCGCATAGAGGGAATTGTTCAGATACTTCTCCATCATGAACAACTATGAAAAATTACCATCAGTCCTACATCACATGTGCTCACGTCATGTAAAAAACTCATGATTTTATCGCGCTCCGAGTATTTAATAATATTCATGCTGAATCGTTACCGCAGAACATCTACTACCGTGTCATCGCCGTCCGTGAGGGGGGGGGGCATACCCCGGAGACGCGTGCCGCCTCTTCGGACATGTCACCACACCACCCCGCATGTATGACGTCCTAGTGCGATGCTCGGGTGGCATTGCTACCCCCCCAGGGCCCCCGTCCCGCCTAACCCTGTAGCATTTGACCACGGGATCTATCCCTTTGACTGTGCACGAACGGGCTTTGAGCAGTGGACCTATCCACCCGGTTGTGTTAGGTCAGCCCATAGGAACACTTTGGAGCAACATCCGGGCCAGACCCACAACAAGATCCCCTCCGTGTAGACCCAACGCGTCTGTTTCCCCCCTCCAGGAGACGCTCCGGGGTGTGCCCCCCTCACGGGCGTCGCTGCCGCCATGTCCCGGAGGGGGGAAACAGCCACGTCGGGCCGACATGGAGGGAATCTTGGGGTGGGTTGGGCCGGGACGGTGTTGGGAGGTGTAGCTATTGGCTGGGCTATGACAACCAGGTGAAAAGGTCCACCGGTCAAACCACGTCCGGTGAAAGTCAAAGGGCTAGACCCGGCGGTCGTCTGTTTCAGGGTTAGACGGGATGGGGTACCGGGGGGTAGCAATGCCGGCAGGTGTTGCGATGGGCCCTCCTACGGTTGTGGAAGAGTGGTGGCAGGCGCAGGCACCCGGCCCCGCGGCTCTAGGGTGTACCCCCCCCCCTCACGGGCGTCGCTGCCGCCGTGTCACGGTCGTCGCCACCGGGTCCCATACACACAGTAAAATAAAAATCTAAAAAATGTAATAATTCAATTTATTAAAAACTCCGACATTCATCATGGAAAACGTACTATCACGGTGAAACCTTCAGTGCCTGGGCACCGGGCTGGCTGCCCGGGCATTGAAAGTTTCACCGTAATTGTACGTTTTCTTCATATATGTCTAATGAATTCCGGTGCTTATGACGTATGATTTAGTGAACTACTTAAACATGTCAAATTGCTTGTACCTCGGCGAGGTGGGACTATTTTTTCAAAAAAAGTGGTTGCCATCTATGCCTATGGCCTTGCCGTCGGCATAGGCCTCCTATCTATGCCGACGGCCTGGCCGTCGGCATAGAGCCACCCTTATCCACTCGACGGCCCTCTCGCTGCCAGGTGGGACCATGCCTATGTCGACGGCATAGATGCACCCTTATCCACTCGAGCCTCGCCGTGGCCACTCGTTCAACTGCCCCTTCCCCACTGCTCCTCCTACTCCGAACCACGCCGCGCCGCCGCCCGACCCAGACGCCCACCCGCACCGCCGCCGCCACCGGATCC